ATCTGTTGGTAATTCTGTTTGTGTCCGGACGACTTCCACTTGGATCATCAACCTGAGAAGGAATGTAGGCGTACCGCTGTAAGTCCTACAGTTCTTCAAGGGTAGCTTTTCATGCCGGAATCCATAACATTTGATGTGTTGATTGTACATATGTTTGTGATTGTGTGATTGTGCTGTTGGTATGCCTGTGGTTTGTTGGCTTTTCTGTTTGTTTTCCATTTCAGCTTTGTCCGTCTGGCCCAGGTTCTCGCACTGACATCCAAGTCAACGTGTATTGGTCGTGATGGAAAGAGGGGATGGATCTTTTTTATGCCGGGGAGTGTCAATGTAGTTGAAGATTGAACGATCAATTCATGGTTGTTTGTTCAATCCCCACTCCTCCATATTTTTCGCGGGAGTCATCGACCCAGCAGTCATCGTCTCATCGTTCGCTGTTCAGTGGAAGATAGAAAACCGTCAGAAGTAATATTGTGATTTATTATTGTAATATTTGTTCACAGACCTTAGTGGAAACATTTTTTATATGTTGGTGTACCAATAAAGAATCCTCGAGTCACCAATTGGTGTTTTAGTTTTTTCGTCCGTTATTACTAAGCGTTTCTGGGAAACTTCAAGGAACAGCGTGAGCCCGAGTGCAGGCAGAGCTGGGCATTAACGGTTTACGAGACGTGGCTGACATGTGAATTTATGTGAGGTTTATTCCCGCTAGTTCGTGAGAGGTGATGCTAGCGTGTCCGATGCCCATGACTGCACATTTCGCTACGTCAGTTGGGAGCACGCATTCTCTGGACCAATCTGACAATTTATTGAAGTCCTCTTGCGACATGAGTGTATCACCGCCACCCTTCAGCTCTTTCGGGATTTGTGAGTCACCTGCGAACAGGACCATATGGGAGACGGTGAGCAGAGATAACTCATTGGTATCCAAAGTAAATAGGAGGTCAGAGTACTGTACCTTGCGACATTCCGCTACGCACTGCCGTCCAGGAGGGGAGTTCCGAGTTTATCCTGACCCTCTGCCGCCTATTTATGAGGAATTCCGTGAGCCAGTTCAGTAAGCTGCCTTTGATGTCAAGGCCTTCCGACTTCATCAGTATTCTTTTGTGGGGAACTTCATGGAAGGCTTTGCCGAAGTCTATGAATACGGCGTCAACGGGTTGCTGCTGTTTCCCAAATATGATATGATGCCTATTTTGATGATTCTTTCCAGTGTCTTGATTAAAGTGCTGGTGGGACTAATAGGCCTGTGATATAAGGCAATTTGTCTTGATCCTCCTTCGTGGATGGAGGATACCGTGGCGTCTTTCCGGTCGCGCGGTAATACTCCATTTAGGAGAGGTAGCTCGAAGATCGTGAATATTGAGCCGGCTATATGAGCTGAGGAGCCTTGGATTGGGATTGTCAGGACCCATCGATTTCCCTGCATCTAGTTTCATCGAGCAGTTGAGTACGGAATCTATTCTTTGTTCCTATGGTGCAGCCAGAGCTGATCCTTGGGGAGTGACGAATCTAGTGTAAAGACTTGGGAGAAGTAGTCTGCCATTGCTTTTGCTTTTTTGGTCTTTGGGGATTGCGTTGTTGTCAATAGTCAGGTTCAGGACACCATTGAATGTCTTACTCCTGAAGTTCATGTACGAGAAAATTTTCCTCAAGTTATGCCATTGCATTTTGAGCCAGATGTATCTCGAACTTCATCCTTCATTGATGGATTTCTGCTTAGCTTTGTTCCCACCGGAGTTGTATAATTTTCTAGTCTCGGGATTCTCAAGTGTGGTAAACAGGTTCCAGCATTTGTGTTTACGCCTGAGTAACTTACGAATCTCTTGGTTTGTCCAAGGAAATGCTTGTTCATAGCTGCTTCTACTTGTGACTCTGGTTTCGTGTACGAGTTCACTGAGTTAGCTGCTGAGACGATCGCATTTAAATCAGCTTTCGAAACGTTTGGTAGGGCTGAGATTATGGCTCACGATGCCGCTGCTGTGAACTTGAAAGTGAGCACTACGTGATCACTTCTTCTTAAAGGAGGAAGGCGTTGTATGAGATACACATCATCACATTGGGAGAACATTAGATTTGGAGTTGAAGAGGAGCGCTGTGAGTCATAGCGCGTAGGCTTCATGACATGCTGGACTAAGTTAATATATGTAAAACTTAGGCACTGTGGTAGTAAGTAATTCCGTATTAGTTTGTTTATTAAATGTATCACACGGTGAAACAGTATTGTACAATACAATATACTATAAGCTTCTAAACCACTTAGTTTTTACCTCTGCTAATGGCATTCGACTTTCAGATGACAGTGGCTACAAACTAAGACACACTAAGGGTACAGTAGCTATCGAACAATGTAAAACAGCTACCAGACAAGAGTTTTACTTGATTAGGTATGCACAGATATGGAATAAACTACCAATGGAAATGCGTCAAGCAGGTACATTGGCCTCATTCAAAAAAGTGCTTAACGACAAACTACACGAGTTTGCAAACGACAGTAGTCCTAGTTCCTATCTGAGAGCCTCCGAAATTATAGGTCCATTTAATGTATAAGCTCAAATACTACACCTGTTGTTTTTGCCTATATTTATAATTTTAGATAAAACATTAACGATTAAGATACTTACCCTCAAAAAGACGAGAAGTTTCGTTTGTAAAACTTCTACCCAACACAATAAGTGGAATAAAATGGACATAAACCGACAACGTGAAAAAGACAGAACTCACCACAACATCACATGGACAGATGTACGCTCGTCGGGCACCATATATGCCTCGCCAGCTACAACCCAACTTTCCTAAGATAATGTGATGAACTTATATCCGTAATGTTGCTGAGCAGTCAATATCCACAACTCATGTCGTATCAACTAAAATTCAAAAACCTTCCTCACGAGAAGTAAATACCCACAAGCAGTAGAAATCCATTAATTAATGCGTCTAAAGCTTATGTATTTTACTCCCAACAATGACATTACAGATCAGATGAGATAAACATATCACTGATTTCAAAATAACACATCAATGAACTATAATTCAAGGATTCTGCACACAACAAAGTATTGTACGAAAATTGACTTCAAGCTTTATTTTTTTTCCCAGGCACTTATAACCCATCCACCAAAGACCTGGTTTTTTTGTTAATGCGAAGACAATACTTCTGTATTTCCTGATGTGTTGCACTCACTGACAATCTAGTGGATTTTTCCAACTATGCACAGAAACGATTGTACATAAGTGAAAAGGATGTTTTATACTATTGGGATTAACATTTATCAAGTGTATGTATAATCTCCAGTGTACATGTTAAACATATTTTGTCATCGATTGGAAAATGTGACTGAATAATATGGTCCTACTTCTGAAACAATTTGATGATGCCTGTAAACTGGCGTCCCTCATGTACTGTATCATGAGAATAAATTTATTTATTTATTTATTTAATACTGTTTCACTAATATGGAATGCTGGACTAAGGCTGGCGAAATGGTAGGTTCCAGAAGTTTATAATCAGAGTTGTTTGAAGAGGGCACCGTGAGGCTCGTCTAGTCAACTGTTTGGGCGTTGAAGTCTCCGACTGCGAGGCTTTGATACTAAGATGTCCAGGAGCCCATCTCCATTAGGAAGTCGTCTGCACTGCAGTATATGGCAAGGAGGTAAGTATGTTGACCTACGCGTAGTTCTCACGTTACACTCTTGTCATAGAGATTTCGATGCAGCGCATGGTTAAGCATTTCTAGGGGTAGATGACTACGCCAACTCATTGGCACCTTTGGGATCACGTTTGTTTGCAGTGACTTTCCCCCTCTGCAGCGTAAGTGTCTTTCGGTCATTCGTGGACATTGTGGCCGTTATGGTATACTTATCTCGTTTTCTGCTGGTGACCACATCACGCCATTCATTGACACCCTCCTCGCTAAGTATAGTTGATTGTGTCTGCCTGCTGTCCATCGGTGTGGATGAGGCTTGATCTGCGGGTTCCTTGGTGACTTAATCTGCGGGTTTTCGACCCCTGTCATGACTTTTCTTCGTGCCTGTCTTTCCATTAATTTCACTAGAGGGCTAATCCAGTATCTTAGGGGCAGCATGGATGTCCGGAATATGGTGAATGCTCTCCTGCACTGAAAGGCATTCACTGCCTGATGGAGACGCGCAAGGAATGCGTTTCGTCTCATTGATGACACTAGTCACCTTACAGGTGTCTGAGCAGTAGTCGCCCCTCTCCTGCGATGGAAAACCCCAACAACCTAGGAGCCTTAACGCCCCACTGAGAGTGGAAGTGGCTTCCGCGCTGCAGCAGTCATTGCACAACCAGTTCACCAGAGGCTTATGGCAAAGCTTTTATGCTGCAGGGGGTAGGTTTATGCACGTTCTGTGAAACCATCTTTTGTAGCTCTCGCACTGCATTGCTTCAACAACTGGGAATTGACACAACTCTTCTTTTTGATGGGCATGCTTTTCAGAGTGAATTGAGACCGAAAGATTTAAATACGGCCCAAGAAAAATTTTTTACATAACCCAGTGATGGAAAAAACCTGTGCGTGTACAAAAATAGATACGGAATAACTAATGTAATAAGAACACAATTCCTATCCGTAAAATAAACTCTTAACTATAAAAAAACTAAATTCGAACAGATAAAAACTGATTTAAAGTTAATCCATAGACGTTCAGAGCACAACACAACGAAAGCCAAGATTAAACAAGAGAGTGCAAAGTTTACTCCCCTTTCAAAGTTCGCGCGCTTTTCAAGTATCAACCATTGAAATCGACTAGTATGGGTGGTATTTGATTTATCAGTCAATTCATTCAAAAGAAAGGGAAGAAAAACAGATAAATGATAGCTTTTTATTCTTAGTGAAAAGTCTAATGCCTGTATATTGTATATTGTTGGGTTAATTGAGTTTGTTGGAGCGACATTCGGTTCTTCTTGGTTGTTCTCACGCCTGACGTTTGAAATGGCTTGTGTGCTTGATAAATTGCTTGAGGAGTCTGAGAAACTCCTCATGGAAGTCCAAGATGACAATGATTTGCCGCATATCACACGAAATCTGGTACAAATACAACACATGGGCGAAAGACTTTGTCCATCGAGGGGGTCTGGCATTGAAGTAAAAGCTGCTCGTCTCTTCGGTCCTAAAATGAGTTACGAGCTGCCGCAGAAATTATCCTCTAAATTGGAAACCTTGGTACCTGCCAACGTTTATGAAACTGTCCCTCGAATTCCGGAATCCGATATCCAGTCATTTCTTAAGTCGGAAAGAGAGAACGCACTTTTCAGCGCACTTCTTATGACCAGAAAATCCGTAAGCCATAGTTTGTGTCACAACCAGTTGGTTCTATATTTTCAGTTTTGTGTCATTTTTATTAGCCTACCACAATTGATGAAGTCTGTTTCATAAGTTGTTTGATATTCCATACCATTTTATGAAAAAAGGATAGAGCATTTAAATCTCTTCCCATTATCATACCGAAGTAACAGACGTGACGTAATTTTGTCATACCGTGATTTAGGGATTGACCTTTCAAACCTTTTCTCTCCCTCGAGAATACATTTACGAGGTCACCACAAGAAGGTGCGCAAGCCAACGCCGAACAAAAGACGCGTGGAATTAGGATTCTCTCATATAGTGGTCGACGACTGGAACTCCTTACTTGATTCGGTAATAACATCTCCATCGGTGAACGCTTTCAAAGAGAAACTAGGTTTCTGCAGAGATACATATCGCAAGGATTAACCGAATCGACAAGAGCCTTCTATCCTTATAATCTGAATCTGAGTGAGAATTTGTTTCCTGAACTTTCTCATGTTTGCATACGTTTGTAGGACAAAATAGCATTACCTCTTGATGACTATGGAGCGGTAAAATTAAGAAACCATCATTTAGGTCTTATTTTAATCGAGAGAACTGATTGACTACGCTCTTGAAAGTGAGAGATTGAGTGTTCTCTCTCCGATCACTACCTTTGAGAAATATACGAGTAGCTGTCGTTTTATGTCACTTTTGGTAGTATATATGCACTATCATTGCTGGAAAGAGAAACAAAGCTGTGATTGTCATATTAACACAACACAGCTACAATAGTCATATGTGTAGCTGAGTGCTTACGTAACCTGTGTTCCTGATTTACTAATTTCTTGCACTTGAAACAGCGGGGACCAGGGTTTTGATCATGGATATAAAAAAATGTTGTTATCTCTTTTCCTTTTATCGGTGTGTGCTGTGGCTACTAACATTTACAAATTTCTTTTATTTCAGTTTAGATATAGGGTAAATGTTGGCATTGGAGTACAGCTTATTTAAAACTAGGTTTGTGTTAGACTCCATAGCTCCCCAGATAACACGGTTTACTTCCTCCCTGTAATAACATTTCTTAGTAGTTAAGATACTTTTCATGATTTAATTTCCCCTCCCCCCCCCACAGATATTTGAAGAAGTAGAGGAACGTTGCGAGGCTTACTTGCAAAGCTGGTGGAGACAAGTGGCTAATCGAGTGAGTATTCAGTAGTTTCTCCAGTTCAATCGCACATACAGACACTGGTTTAGAAAACTATAATCAACCAAATTGGCTGGATCAAAGATAAACTTTAAATCTAACACATGATGAACTAATATACGCAAACCAGGTACTTTTTGAATACTTCTTATGCTAACCACGAACTCCCACTTTCCAGTAGCACCGCAGTCATCAAAATTCCAACTCATGTATGGCTTGTAGAAAGAAGCACTAAAATATTGACTAGGTGCATAGTACGGCACATATCTGCTCTTTTGCCAAGTGAATCCAACATGGTAATATTTTGTATGTAATCTATGAGGTGAAAATTGTTCTGTTAGCTAATCAGAACAATCAAATGATAGCTTTGAATTTCTTCACATTATTCACTGTTAGGCTTTACTGTAAGTGATCAACATTCAGCATACCTGCTCATACATCTTCATTCCTCTTAATTAGGTCCCAACAGCTTGAATCATCATTGTTTACAATCATTTTGATAATGTTAGTTAATTTCATGAGTTCAAAAGCTACTCTGGTCATATTAAATCCATGTATTTGTTTTCAAGAGGACCTATATACAAACTTCGTATACTTTTAAAGCCAGAAATGACATAGGTAAGCTGGCATATCAGAGAAATCAATTGTTACAGAATAATGAATGTTGTGTTCATAAGGTGATTTTAGCCAGCGTACCAACCCGTAGTTTACAGACAGGTAGTGAAATGATTGAATAAGTTTACGACCTCACTTTTATGGGACATTACGTTAGTTTAATTCTGCAGAAATCCATTCTATTTGTCACGCCCTCATTCTGAGACATAGTGACTAAAAGCATATATATATATATATATATATATATATATATATAATTCGTTAGAGATTTCTGACCATATGTCTTTCTTTAATTATCCTTATTCAGTGGTTAAGTTGGACGAAGCTTCATGGTTTGAGGATTATGCTAATGAAGTATGCCGTGTGGCGACTCGAACTGCTGCATATCATTGCAAAGTTCTATGTTGAAATCAGTCAGTCAGTAATGAAGTAAAACTAAGTTGGAGAAGAGTTAAAGGTTGTCAGGATGACACTACCAACCTAGGAAGTCACTAACTGTTGGTCTGACCCTCGTTTACACTTGTAAACTGTTTGGCCTAGGTCGAGATTGATGAATAGTGGGATACTGTCAACAAGATTGCTTATGATAATGGCAGATTTACTTACCGTTTGTCATCCGTTAAGATTAAATAGATGCTTCATTGAATTCAGTTGTTTCACCCATCTTTTCACTGAATACTCTTGGAATTGTTTAAGTGTCTATTATTAAAAGCATATCCTAAAGATGCTGATCATCATTTGGTTTATTTCCACTTAGGTAGTTATATTCTAGTGCTTATTTAAGATCAAGAATTTATCTCTTTGTAACAGATTCACGTGATGTTACACTACAAATTTCCTGTAGTATTGTGTCAAGAATGACTGTTGCCAGGGGCAGTTAACACAGTAGAACTCAGTCCAACTAATACACGACAGACTTAATATTGAGAAATACGACGGCTTCTAATTTGTATTAAAACATTTGATAGCAGCTGGATATATAGCAAATGGATCCACATTCTTAAAAAATCTCAACCAATTTATCAATCAAATTCTCAAGAGTTTATAAAATTTCTCGAAGTATTATTTCAACCATCATTTCATATATTTTTTACAGTACATAAGCTGTGTGGTAATCCAGGTTACGTTGGTGACTACATTTGTAAAGAGTGAATTGGTATTTACCATATGAACATGATGCCTTATGGCTTAATTTGTAGTTATGAAATGTTTTAAAAAGGGCCTGTGTTATACGGTTTTATTATACAGCTTTTAACTTTAATAATAGCTGTACTCCTATTTTATTCCCAAATGACAGCTGGACTATTACCTTTCTCTACACTTCACAACTTCTACTGACTTTACTTCTTTTCAAAATGGGATTCCCCGCGATCTACTAACCTGTCTGTCTATGTATCAAGACTCGCTTTCTCGCGAGAAGCAGACCAAGCTGCGCATGAAAACTTACCAATCAGATGTCACAGAAATGTGGTGTCTCGTGAAAAGAATTGCTCACTGCATGCGCAATGAATATGGTAATATGTTGTCATGTGATCGTCCACTGGAAACTAGAGCGTCTTTGTCTGTTCAGAATTCGCTATCACTGTGTTCTTTAGAACATCTAGAATTCGAGTTTCTAGAATTTGTAAAGCTAACAGTCGCTGACCAGCCTCGGTTAGCCCAACTTGGTGGACGTCCAGGAACGCGACCGTTGATACGTGCATATCTAAGTCTTCGCTTGTCGTCAAAAAACTTAACGAATGATCCGTGTCAGTCATTTGGACAGAAAGATTGGGAATTCGATGTAAGTTCATTTTGTTATCTTTTTAATACAGTGAATCACTGACTTGTTGGTTTTTCTTTAGAGTTTAAACCAGAATTATGACGATATTCGTCTGTCCTCATCGATAAACCTTCATTTCCTAGAAAATTCAGTGTGACCTCTAGGTTGAATGAAAGTATTCCAACAAGTTTGGGACTTCTCTTTTTCTTTATCATGGTGTGCAGCAATCTTCGTATGTTTGGCACGTGATTCGCCCCTGCTAAATGTAAGATGCTGCTACAGAACTGGACTACGTCAACTCCTAGCTTAGTGATGGGGAGTGAAGTGATAGAACATGTTGACCACTTCACCTATTTGGGAAGTTGTGTCAGCACCAACGGACTGATTGGCGACGGAATCTCAACACGGATCCAAAAAGCTCGAGCTGCTTTCGCTGACTTACACCATCTCTGGTGTAGGTGTGACATCCGGTTATCAACCAAGGGACGTGTATACTGCTCAGCAGTTCGCTCCGTCCTTCTCTATGGTTCTGAAACATGGCCAATACGCGTTGAAGACATGAAAAGGTTGACTGCTTTCGATCATAGATGTCTGCGATCTCTGTCTCACGTTAGGTGGTTTCACAAGATAAGTAATGTTGACGTTAGGCGTAGAGTGTTGGGCAAAGAGGGAAAATCAATTGACGAGGCTATAAAGTTACATAGATTTAGATGGTTAGGTCACGTGCTGCGCATGCCTAACCATCGCCTCCCCCGACGGGCTTTGCTAGCTGATATAGGTGCTGGTTGGAAAAGAGCCAGTGGTGGCCAAACAAAAACATGGCATCAATCCATGAAATCCTTGACAGTTAAACTGAGTCAGGTAGGGAGATGCAGACTTCCGGGTTGGGACCCTCGGGATTCTAGGAATCAATGGCTGGAGACAATAGGTGACATGGCTCAAAATCGTTGTCAATGGCCAGCGCAGATGTATTCAGTCTCTGTAATCTTTCATATTCCTTTCTACCATTACCCACTCTGCTTCGCTCTTATACTTGTCAAACTCTGTTGATTCTCTTCACTCTTCTTGTTATTCTTAATGTGCTATTTGGAACGTGGCAACTCGAACTGGTGCACTTCGGTGCCAAGTTCTATGTTGAATCCAGACAGACAGATTATCATGGGGTGAAATATGCATTGTCGAGCTAATTAATGTGTGATGTTGAAACCAATGGGTTGGAGACAGCTAACAATGTAGTCGAAAGCCATTTATGTTGCTTACATCATATTTTTCTGTTCCCCGTTTGTAATCACTTATTTATCGTGCTTAAAACTATATATTACTGCTTGGTCAAGATGAGTAGTTGTTCACAACTCATATCAGTCAGCAGCAATTGATAGTCAGGTCGAAGTGATATAATTAACCGGGGAGCCGTTGAACTCTTTTGAGGCCGAGATCATCATCAGTGTACATGGTTCAACCCAGAGCCGAATCAATTCAAACTAGCAAGCGATACTGGATGATGTGAGTGGTGTACAACCACTCATCTAAGTTAATCAGTAGTATATAGTTTTTATGCATTTGTGCTTGCTTTCCCGATTACCATTCATGGTATCAAACAGACCGCATCAAACTTTGTGAATTGCAAATTGCAAATTCGATATACTTCTCATTCCGTTATGCAGTACAAATAAGTATATTTTGCAAAGGGGTGATCAGCCCCAGTAATGAGTTCGTCTGATTGTGCATCATACCTGCACTGACCGTGTGGTTTAAAACTCATTTTTCTTATTGATTTTTACACACCTTTAAATGTATAAGCATTAAATGCGTCACACTGCAGTAGGTTTCCTATGTATTTCTAACCATCTGTAAGTCTGAAGTCGAGTGCACTTTGAATAGTATCAGCAAAAAAAATTTCTTACACGATTCATTAGCAGATAAACTGGTGTGACGCTCACCTTGCGTTTATCAAATAGTTATTCCAGATTTTACCTTTATTTCACTAGGATGGTCTTGTAGACGAAATGCCTGTTTGGCCTATGCTTTTCTACTGTCTACGCGCTGGGGATAAAAACGTTGCCTTGGAAGTTGCTCGTGAAGCACTGTAAGTTACTATTTGTTTACTCCACTTCATATAATGGTATGTTTTCGTAATATATTTCTTCTGTTCCTAAAATTGCAGTTAACCAATGTTTGTTACTGTGTTGTGGTTATCGGGTTTGTACGTCACTGTAACCCTATGAGCGATGCTGACTGTAATCAATGCTTCCATGGATCCTACTGCATGAAATAGTAGTCTCCATAGTTTAATTTGCTTCACATTGCTGAATGTTTGGGAGCAAGGTCTCACTGTCTCTACCTTCCTTAGGTGTAAGAGTGATGATAAAGTTATGCTACTTGGAAATCTCGTCTCCTGAATGACCCTATAATGG